TGATCCGGGAGCGCATCCTGGGCCCTTCCCACCCCGACACCTCCTACTACATCCGTTACCGCGGGGCCGTCTACGCCGACTCCGGCAACTTCGAGCGCTGCATCAACCTGTGGAAGTACGCCCTGGACATGCAGCAAGGCAACCTGGAGCCCCTCAGCCCCATGACTGCCAGCAGTTTCCTTTCCTTCGCCGAGCTTTACTCCTACGTGCTCCAGGACCGTTCCAAAGGCACTTTAGCCACCCACCTGGGCTTCTCCGACCTCATCGGGGTGCTGAGCAAGGGGGTCCGGGAGGTGGAGAGGGCCCTGGTGCACGGCAAGGACCCCGTGGCCGACTCGGCGCAGTTCACCAAGACGTTGGCCATCATCCTGCACCTGGTTTTCCTGCTGGAGAAGGTGGAGTGCACCCCGGAGCAGGAGCACCAGAAGCGCCAGACCATCTACCGCCTGCTCAAGTGCAGCCCCCGCGCCAAGAACGGCTTCACCCTCCTGCACATGGCCGTGGACAAAGACACCACGACGGTGGGGCGGTACCCCGTGGGCAAATTCCCATCCCTGCACGTGGTGAACTTGCTGCTGGAGTGCGGGGCGGACCCGGACAGCCGGGACTATGACAACAACACCCCCCTGCACGTGGCTGCCCGCAACAACTGCCCGCTGATCATGAGCGCCCTGATGGAGGCCGGGGCGCACATGGACGCCACCAACGCCTTCAAGCAGACGGCCTACGAGCTGCTGGACGAGAAGCTGCTCACCAAGAGCACCATGCAGCCCTTCAACTACATCACCCTCCAGTGCCTTGCTGCTCGCGCCCTGGACAAGCACAAGATTCCCTACAAGGGATTCATCCCCGAGGAGCTGGAAGCCTTCATTGAGCTGCACTAGGGTGTGACAGACGACGGTGCCCAGCCTGTCCCACCCCGCTGAGGTTGTGCAGCTGGAGGGCTCGGGCTGGCTGTGCCAAAGTGCCCAGGGCTGTCGCTGTGCTGAGCTTTGTCCCCATCTGTCACCACCCAGCTGGCGTGTCGGGGCAGGGGAGGAGGAGGCCCTAGAGCTCGTGGCTGTCCCTCGTTGTCACCTTCAGGTACCAGCTCTCTCCAGTGCACTCTGTCCACAGAGGCCACAGCCCCTGCCCTTCCCCAAGCCACCGTCGTGTCCTGAGAAGGAAGGAAATGGAGATTCCCTGGGACCTGCTGCCTGTCCCGTTAGTGCTGGATTAACTCAGTGTTCAGCTTTGGAGCAGCTACACATCCCCCACGTGCTCTGGCCCTTCCCACCCCACACACAACAGATAGAAAGTGAGTGAGGAATGAAACACCCTCCAGTTAATCCCTTCCCCTCCCTCCTGTCAGGTTTGGGACAGCCCATGCCCAACAGCCGAGGGGCTCGTGCTCTGCCCAGGGATGGCACAGGGCTGGGTGTGCTGAGGATGGGGTTTGTCTCTCTCTTGGTTGGCCAAGTAGCACATGGTGTTAAAGGCCTGAGATTTCCATGATTGTGCATAAAGCTGGGATGTTTTTTCTCTCGTAGAGCCAGGCCCTATCTATGCTGCAAGACTTCTTCAATGCTGTAAGATAGAGGAAGGTCAGTTCTGGTTATACAGTTTCATCCATAGATGTTGTAGTTTATGAATGGGGAGGAAAAAACTACTTTAAGAACAAAATCCTGATGTGGTGTTCAGGCCCTTGGCTTGTCCATTCCACACCCGTTTGCTCCATTCCCAGCACGTACGTGCTTTGGCTCCAGAGGGCAGCAGGGACTGAGCTGCAAGGGTGGATGGTTTGGGAGCCAAAACAGCACATTTTGAGCTATTTTCAGAGCTGAGCTCTTGCAAGCCCTTTAGGCCAGGAGGCACCTGCAGTGTGGAGGTGCTTGGAGGGGTTATGGAAGCAGGTGAGTGTCTGTGGTGGGTTTGCACCAGGATGGGCTGAAGGAAGAAGCAAGAAATGAAAGTTTAAGGTGCCTCCTTGTCCTTCTGAGGTTTTAGTGTCATGTGCTTGGGCTCTGTTACTGCCCCATTCTGAAACCTCATGCAGTGGGTTCTTAGCAGCTGGTTTGGGCTTTTGAGTCTTCTTTTTTCTTTTTTTTCTTTTTTTTTTTTTTTTTTTTTTTTTGGTAACTTCCCTGAGGATGGTGCTACTTCCAAGGTGGAATTTGAAATCTCACCTGGCTGCTGTTTGGACAAGCTCCTTCCTTTGATGAGGATCTGCACACACTTTGTTTTTAACTCTGTAGTCTCAGGGCAGGTTTTTGCCTCTGTGAGCAGACCCCTCTGTGGTGGAAAACAAAGAGTTTCCAGCAGTTTGTCCTTGTGCAGGCGGTGATGGGCAGCCTGTGGCTCCTTCCCTGGCCCTGGGCAGGCTGGGAAGCACAGCTGAGGGGGGAAGCAGCTGCCTGGAGCTCTGGGAAAGGTCCACCTGGGAGAGCAGACCCCTGGCCCCACCCTTGCTCTCTGTGCTACTGAAGCTTCTCCACTTGTATTTATCAGCCTCAATAACCACGCTCTGCCCCTTCCAGATATTGTAGATCTGCCAGTACATTTTGCAGTGTTAACTATAACATTTATTTATAAAGCGAGGAGGTTTAACTTGAATTGAGCTGTAAAGTGCAGAGTTAGTTTAGCTGCCTTCTATTTTTTTTTTTTCCTTTTGGCTGAAACCTGAACTAAACTGCAGGAATGGGATTTGTTCCTTTGTGAGCTGATGAGCGCTCTTAACTTTAAATAATAAAACAAAAAATGGCTGCTAGAATGCAAGTGCCTTGGACTTCTTGCTGATAAGCCTCTATATTCAGGTGTTTTCCTCTGTTTTCAGTTTGTTTCCCAGAGATGGGACACTGTGGGTATGGAATCCTGGGGTGTTTGCAATTAAACAGGTGTGATTGGTTCACTTCATGGTTACTCCTGTGAAAAACCGATCTGTGCTGCACTGACAAACTTCCCCTGGAAAAGAGTAACACTGACACTGCAATGACACCTCCTCTTCGATGTTTTGCCTTATATTTTGGTGCAAATCAAACAGCGTGAGAGGATCTGTGTTGACTTGGTGTTACCTGCCTTACACGTGGGGACAGGGGACACAGCAAGCAGGAAGAGGGACGCTGTCATCAGTTTGGTTTCCAACCCCAAGTCCATCAGGGATGGTAAAAACAGAGGAATTAATGGTACTGGAGTTAGTTCCACACAGGGACCTGGATCCCAAAACTGCTAGGTCTTCCCCAGGGAGGGTGGGTGGATAAAATACTGGATGTTTGTCCTGTCGTTTATTGCTCCATCCTTAGTTCTTGATGCCCTGATGAAGGATGGTGCCTTTGTGCTAAGAATGCCACAGGAGCAGTGTCTCTAGAGCCTGGGCACCTGCTCCTCCCAGGCAGACGTCCCTCCTGTGCTGCAGGTGATCTCCAGCTGTGGAGAGCAGCTGCCAGGAGCCAGGTGGCCTCAGGGCAATTCCATCTGCACCCACGGCTGCTGGCAGGAGAGAGGTGGCAGGGAAGGGAGTTAATCCAGGCAGGAGCAGCTCTGGAGCTGGGCTCTTGTGCTCAGGGAGCTGGGGGATCCAGTCAGGTGCAGCAGCCCCAAGGAGGAGAATATTCTGTGTGACGGAAGAGGCTTCACTTTTTTTAAACACATAAATAATCTGTAATTACATAGAGGGCCCAGCAATTAAATGTTGATAGTAATTACAGGGTGGAAGAAATCACTGCATGATTTAGGGGTAATTACACTGAACAGGCCTGATTGACTGTAGGGCCAGCTCCATGTGGGCAAAACACAGAGTTGTGGGGAGCAGGGCAATGTTTCAGTGATTATTTTGTTAATTCTTGGACAGAGAGGAGCTTTTTCTCCTCTGTGGTGGCTGCAGAGCCTCGTGTACCCCAGACACAGCTCTCCCTCCCCGTGTGTGATCCAAGCACGCTGGATGTGCCTGTGCTGAGGTTGTTTACAAGCTGGAGCAGCTTCCAGCTGACTAATTTTGCATGATTATTTATAGTAGGAGAGGAGCTGGGAGAGGAGGGATGTGGGAGTGCTCCCAAGGGGAGGGACTGTCCTGCACCAGCGGCAGGGGACAGGAACTGCAGTGACACAACAACTCTTAATGCTCTATGGGGGAGAGAAACCAGGAGAATAAAAGGAGTTCGAGCACTTGGAGGATGCCAGCAGGCTCTGGAAGGAGTGGATGAGTTAATCCGTGGTCACTGGGTCCTGCAGAGTTAAAATCCAATCTTTGGGAGCTGGAAGGCGAGAGTTGTGGGCAGCTCAGAGCCTCCTGCAAGGATTTAATAACATCTGCCTCACTCAGGGGTTGGCTTGGGGCTCAGAGGGCTCTGGGACCAAGGCTGCAGTCTGGAATGGGCCTGACAGGACCCAGCTCGGGCAGGGATGAGCTCGGATCCTCCTGGAACCTGCTGGGGAAGCCACGGAGTGCCACGAGCACACACAGCCCTGCAGGGACACCTGGAATGGGGTCACTTCAGGGGGCCCCAGGGGCATCACCTGAACTCCCGAGGAGCCCGGGGCTGTGCCCTGCTCCTGGCACGGGCTGAGCTCCCTCTGGGCTCTGCCCCGGGAGGGAACAGCCCCATTCCGGTCTCGGTGGCTTTGGGGTGACCTCTGCTGACGATCAGGAAAATGGCTGTGCTGGAGCCTGGGAGGAGGAGCGAGGGCCTTGCTCCAGGTGCCCTCCTGGTGTTAAAGCTCAGATCCCTTGCTCAGATCCTGCAAAATTTCCCCTCCCACTCTCCGTTCCTGGGTTTCTCCACCCTTCTGCACTATTCTGCTCACTGCTTTTGCTGTTTCATTCTGCTCTTTCCTGAAAGGCAGTTTCCCAAAGCATCCCTTGCAGATTTTCCCTCAAATCATTTGGTCAGTGCCATCTCCCAGCCCCTCCAGCCAACATGCACAATAGTTTTCCATATATCCCTGACTATCCCTTTTCTAATTCTGCAGGAAAGAAGCAGAGGAACACAAATAAATTAATTAAAAATTATTTATAAAATCTTCAAGTAGTTCCAGACAATCAGGAAAATAATTTTCTCAGTTACTTGAAAATAAGCACAAGGAAAAACAGTTTCAAGAAATCACAACATCATTTTTCCAACAAAAAATGAAGAATTTTCTTTTGTGCTTCAGGAAAATGGCACTCATGATGTATAGAATAATAGTCCCAGTCCCAGCAGAATCACTCTAATCCAGGATTTGAAATGAATTTTGTCTTTGGCTGCCCCAGTCAGAGGCTGTGCCTGGATTGCTCCTGGCTGTGCCCTGGCCCAGCTGGGGCAGTTTCCACCTGCATCACGTTGTGGTTCCCGATCTGAACCATGCGGGCGTGCTGGATGATCAGGGGTGCCATCCCTGCCTGGCCTGCTGTCAGGCTGTAGTGGCCTGGGGGCAGCTGTGCGTGGCAAGGGGGAGGACCCCTCTGAGCAGGGGGGGGGTCCATCGGGGCAGGGGGACACCAGGGCTGGGCTGGTGGCCCTGGTGGCCCTGGCCATGGCGCTGCTGGTGGCCCCCAGGGAGGGGAGCCCAGGCTCAGGGCAGCCAGCTTCTGCTGGGCTTGCTGCTGTTCCCAGCGTGCCTGGAGCTTCCTTCTCTGCAGCTGGTCCCACATGGCTTTCTTCTCCCTGATCTTCTCGGGGTTAAAAGTCTTGTGCACTTTCCTGGGGAAGAGAGGAGAGCTCTCATTCAGGGTGACGAGCACACTGAGCATCCTGGGGATCTGGCTGCTCTCCAGGGCGTTTGCCTTGGGTAGAAATGGGATGACTGAGTCTTGCTTGGAGGGGTCCAGGATGGACTGCATCAGAGCAGTGTCTGTCTGGTACAGGCACAGGTTGCAGGGAAAGTTCTTGGTCAGCAGCAGGATCATGAAGGCAGAGTTTTCCATGGCCTCCTGGAAGCAAATCATGTGGCTGCGCCCAGCAATGAAGAAATCCTCACTGAGGGTGGCACCGTTGGACACCCCCATGCTCTCCAGCAGGTTCTTGACCTGGTGGGCCACAATCTCATCTTCACTGGCGTGCAGGACAACAAACGTGAAGAACTTGGCACCATCTGGCTCTGATGGATCCATGGCTGGGGGAGCAGGAGGCCTGGCTGGAGAGGGGGATGAGTGCAAGGGAGAGGGATATGATGGTTTGGGGGGGGATTCCTGGAGAGGAGGAAGAGTTGAGGAGAAGGAATAAGTAGGAGGAGGAAGGGAACAGGTTGAAGTAGAAGCAGGTGCAGAGTTGCTGGGAATGCCTGCTGGAATGTGGGAGTCCTGTATGGACACGAGGGCAGGAGCAGTATCCACTGCAGCCCTTGAGTCAGGGACATCAGCAGATAATTGCTTTTCATCCTGCTTTTTATCCTGCCTTTCATCCTGCTTTTCTCTTGGCATGTGAGGCTCTGTCACTGTGCTGGACACGTCACTGCTTTGGGCAGGCTCCGAGGGCAGCGGTGTTGGAATGGGGAGAGGGCTGGGCTGGCAGGGACTGACCTGCAGAACCTCCTCTGCCTGGGGCCCTTGGGCAGCTGTGTCCTGCCCAGGGGGAGCGCTGGGTGTGCTGGCCCAGCTGCATTCCTGGGGGCCGTGGCTCTGTGTGTCCCCAGCACGGCTGGGCCAGGGGACACGCTCGGGGACAGAGGGCTGGGTGTGAAAAGCAACTGTTGGTGATGCACTGATCTCCAAACAGCTGGACAGGGAGGAGCTCCCCACAGAGCACAGGGTCCGTGGGCCTGAAAGGTCTGAGCTGCCCCTGATCTCCACTGGTGAGCTCCTCACCCTGGTGTGAGGAAATCCTGCATCCTCGTGGGATCTCAGCGTCCCAAACCTGTCCCCTGAGCCCCCGCTGGCTGCAGAGCCCTGCTCCTGTTCCTTGCGTGGGATGTTGTTGAGTGTCCCCTGCTGAGTGTCCTTGCTGGCGTGGCAGGCTTTGTCCCTGGCCTGAGGACTGCAGAGCTGTTCCTGTGCCAGCACAGTGTACACCTGTGCCAGCAGTGCCACGGCTCCTGCATCCAGCTGGGGAGGCTGCAGCTCCTCCCCATCTTCCCGCACTCCTGCAGCACCCAGTTTGATCTGGTGGACGTACTGGGCTGCCTGGTTATCCCTCAAGGCATCCAGACAAATTCTCGCCTCCGTTTCTTGCCCCAGAGTGAGCAGGACCATAGCTTGCAGTAACTTGCTGCAGGGCCCAGGTATCAGGTGCTTCAGTCTGAGTTTGAGGCTCAGCAGTTTCTCGGGCGGGGCCTGGGACAGAATGTTGAACACGGCCTCGAAGCTGGGCTGCAGCTCAGCGCTCTGTGCCATCTCAGCAGCTGCTGGCCCCGACCACGGACTGGAGCAGGGATGGGAAAAGCATCTTACGGCCAAGGGCTGTGTGCCTGTGGGGCTGGGGGTGCCCCGCTCGCACTCCTCGCTCCACCAGGCCTGCGCTGCCCGGCTCTGCTCGGAGCTGGGGCCTCTCAGTGCTGGGAGTCTGCAGGAGAACAGAGCACAGCGGTCACAGGGCTGCTGCGGCCACGGGGGATGCTCCTGGAGCTCACAGGCTGGCTCTCACACCTCCCAAATTATTTTTGCAGCTGTTCCGTGCTTGCAGCTGTGCCAGTGCTCTGTGCATTATTCCAACTCTGTGATTAAGCAAAGAGCACATTATTCGCGTTCATTTCACATTAATTACAACTGGTTTAAGATAATTGATGAAATAATGCTATATTTAGGTAAATCCAAGTGTCTCCTCCAGGCAGCTGGTTCCAGGGTTCTCACAGGCTCCTTGTGATGGCAGTTGAGGAGTAAAACAGGTGTAGAGGAAACCCTTTCCAGCCGATAACCTGTGTTATCAGGGAAGACTCACAGGAAAGAATTCCTTCCCAATCTCCCACCCAGCCCTGCCCTCTGGCAGTGGCAGCCATTCCCTGTGTCCTGTCCCTCCAGCCTTGTCCCCAGTCCCTCTGCAGCTCTCCTGGAGCCCCTTCAGGCCCTGGCAGGGCTCTGAGCTCTCCCTGGAGCCTTCTCCTCTCCAGGTGAGCACCCCAGCTCTGCCAGCCTGGCTCTAGCCCTGGAGCAGCTCCGTGGCCTCCTGTGGACTCTGTCCCAGCAGCTCCACGTCCTTCTTTCATTGGGAGACTTTTATATCCCCATCCACAGGTGATCCCTGAGCCCCTGCACTCACCCCAGGCCTCTGATGGGATTTTAATTAAACAACAGGAGTGTCGGGAGGGGAGGAGCGGGCTCCGCTGGGACACTCGCTGCTGCAGGCGCTGCCTGAGCCCGCTGCAGAAACTTTCCCTATTTAAAGGCAGCCCCAGCAAACGCCCCGAAATAACTCTCAACTGGGGAAAGTTTCCAAGCTCAGTTTTGTTTTCATGTCTCATGAAAACCCTGCAATTGCCCAATGGGCCTCGCTGCCCGGGCCGGGCCAGCCCTGCCCTGTGTGCCCGATGGGCACGGGGGTGGCACGGCCGGGCTGGAGGCGCTGGAGCGCGGGCCGGGGCGAGTCCCGAGCCCGGGAAGGGCAGGGGTCGGCCGGGAAGGGAAGTGGGGGATCGGCCGGGAAGGGAGGGGAGCGTACCTGCGGCCGGTGCCCGGGGCAGGCGGAAGCGGCGCGGGCCGCTGAGCGCGGGCGGGGCGGAGCAGGAACCGCGCACCGGAGGGCACGGCCCGGGCTCGGGAACCGGGGCACGGCCCGGGCTCGGGAGCCGCGGCACGGGGACCCCGGCCGGGTGAGCCACCCCAGCCCGGCCCGCTGTGCCCGCGTGAGCAGCCGGAGGTGACACAGAGCGCTGGGGACAGGCAGGGCCCGAGCTCTCCCTGCGGGCAGTGTGTTGGGAAGGGCTGGAATAGGGACGGGCAGTGCACAGCCCTGGAGCCAGGGGTGGCAGAGGCAGCTGCGGGTGAGGAGGAGCAGTGCGGCATGGACAGATGCACCCGAGCCTCAGGGGTACAGGCAGAAGTCAGGGAAACAAAATGATGAAGGCATTTTTCTGGATAAGCATGGAACCTACTAAAGCCAGGGGGGTTTTCGGTTTTTTCCCTCCAGCAAGGGCAGGGAACAGACAGGCTGGCCAGGGACAAGATTTGGTAAATGCAAGGCTTCATCACAGCTCAGGTAAGGGGAGAGCACAACCCTGCAGCTTTAGGTACACACAAACACACATGGTTTTGAACACAGGTCACGCTTTATTCCAGTGTCTGCTCACCAGCCCTGGCACAGGGACAATGCCAGGAACAGTTACCAAAATAAGTTACACTCAAAATTATTACAAAGTAGCATTTTCTGGGAAAGAACCAGCACCTGGATTAAAATCCCCCCTATTTTAATAACAGGATATCCTAATCCCATGGCAGAGTAACTCCTGGGAAAAGCTGCCTCATTTAATGGCTGTGAAGTGCTTCACACATGGAGTTACTCACAGATAATCCTTGAAGTCATTCACAGAAATAGGAAAGATTAAAGAAAACCCCACACTGCCGAGTGCTTCTCCATGAAGGAAGAAAAGTTTGGCTGATCCATGAAATCTCTTCTTGAGAAGCAGCTCCTTGCCCCCAGCTGTGCCAGATGTGCTGCAGGGCTGAGCCTCCCCAGAAGCACAACAGGCACAAAGGAAGTTGTGTCTGGAACTTGTATTTTTAAATGTGGAGAAGGTGGGAGATGGTATCAAAGGTCAAGCATAGCATCTTCTCAAGAGTTCCACAGCTTGGGCAAATTAAAAACAAATCCAGCATTAAAAATAAGTTGAGATCACTTCTCTACCACAACTTGTCTCAGCAAGATTTAGCCACTCACAGCCACAGCTGGGCTGAGTTAAAAAGCTGCAGTGCAGGTCCCATCTCCCCTTTCAGCACAGCAGTTGGATTTAAAAACAGTACATCAAGATTCAGAATCTCCCCACCTTGGTTATCATACCTCCTTACTACATCTGACTCTAAATCCAGAGAGCAGACACTCATGGCACAAGTGGGCACACAACTAGAAGATCCAGAGCTGTTCTAGCCCAGCAGCCTTGGCCAGAAGAGCTGGGATTTATCAGAGATCTTCCTCTGCTGCACTGGTTTTTATCTCCTTTGCAGCCAGGGCCACCTCTGTGTCCTTCCCTACCTTCTCCTCCAGCTTCTCTAGCACTTCACACCATTTTTCTGAGAGCCTGTTGGTTCCCTTTGGTTCTTCAGGTGCCTTTGTCACCTTCTGTGATAGTGGAGCCTTCTCCAACTTGGGTAATTTTATATCACTCCTCATCTCTCTCTTCTTGTGCTTTCTGCTGTCCTGTGCCACCTTAGCCATGGCCCTGAAGGGCCCCACAATCCAGTTCAGAGGGGTGTTGTGAGTGACATACTCAAAGAGGACATCGAGGGACCTCCGGGCCTCCGCCACGCGCTCCTGGCTCCGGGCCAGGGTGGTTCTGGAGAGGTCCTGGAAGGACACGGCCCTGGAAAAAGAGCTGTGGAGCTTGTGGATGTGTCGAGTGGCCCGAGACACAGCTTCCTGGATGCTGCTGGGGAGGCCGTGGATGCTGAGCTTGAGGCTGTGGTAGGCGGGCTGGAGCTGCTGGGTGATGATCCTCAGCATGGCCAGAGTGCGCGGCTCCACCTGCCGGGAGAGGAGAGCTCAGGGGGGCTCCGGCTGCCGGGACAGGACAGCTCGGGGAGAGAACAGCTCGGGGAGAGAACAGCTCGGGGAGAGAACAGCTCGGGGAGGCTCCGGCTGCCGGGAGAGAACAGCTCGGGGAGGCTCCGGCTGCCGGGACAGGACAGCTCAGCTCGGGGAGGCTCCAGGGGGTACCTCTGGCTGGCTCGCAGTTCTGACTTGGTTTCCTTTGGGCTGCGTCAGGCTCCAGTCCACCCACAGCTGATGGAGCTTCTCCCGCCCTTCCAGCAGCTTCTGGCCAACCTCCTGTTTCACAGATTCAATCTGATAGGAAAAATGAGAGGAAAGGTTGTACTGCAAGCACACACAGAGAGGCACAAGGGCTTCCCTGCCAGGGAAGGATCCAAGGTGACACAGAGCTGGTGTGGGATGGAGGAAGAGCTTCCAGCCAGATAGCAGGGCAGGAAGGGCTACAGACAGGAGGAGGAAGGGCAGAGCGTGTTGGTACCAGTTTTATTGCCAGCTGCAGCCGTGAGAGGGTGTCCTGGGTGCGGTGTCTGAAGCCCTGCAGCTTGGCCAGGGAGTGCTGGTAGGCTCGGTGCCGGACCCTGCCCGACAGCGAGCCCAGGCGCACAAAGTAACTCTGCTGCCTCTTCTGCTCCTCCACGGAGGCCACGCCAAAGCCCTGCACCGTGGTGGCCAGCTGACCTGGAGGAAACAAGAACAGAGTGCAGCTGGGCCCACTGCCAGCTCAGAGGGGTGGAAGAGGTTGGATCAGCCGTTGGAAAACACGAAGGCTGAAGCTTGCTGTAGTAGCAGGAGCTCATGTGTTAAAGGCAGGTTAGTCCCTGCTCAATCTTCAGGTAAGCAGACTTGGAGAGGTTGAAGCATGAACCCATATATTTATTTACTTTGAGGCTGATGGACAAGGACCAGCCAGCAAATGCTTGAACTCTGTCCCATGCCATGTGGCAATTTGGTGTTGACAGCCAGCAACTTTGTGACAAATTCAGAGCTACCTGTCCGCTTCAGAAGCTGAGTCTTGCTGTGTCAGGTGCTCTCTACTCACATGGGAAAGGACTTGCACCTACAAGCGCCAGGTAAGTATTTTCTTACCTAGTTCCTCCTCGGTCACTGGGAGGTAATGATCCACCAGATCTTCTGACATTCCCAGGACAGATTCCACACCTCCAGCCACTGCCTGGCTCACTGCCTTGGCTTTGCTTATGCTGTTGGTCACCACTGAGTTGGTCATCTCCACGCCCTCCTGGAGAACCTCCCTGCCCTGCTCCAGGGCTGTGCTGATCTTGCTGGTGATGGTGCCATAGGCAGCATCCAGAGCTGTACTGACTGTAGAGGTGACCACAGATTTGGTCTTCTCAACGCTGTCTTGAACAGCCCCTTTGGTCAGGTCCACTGCTTCGGTCACCTTGTTGGCCACCAGGTCCTTGGCCCCCTGGGCAGCCCCCACAGCTGCAGTGATGGTGGAAGCAACAGCAGACTTGGTCCTGTCAATGCTGTCCTCCACCGTGTGCTTGGTGACATCCACGGCCTCTGTCACCTTGTTGGTCACCAGCTCCTTGGCACCCTGGGCAGCCTCCACGGCATTGACAATTGTAGAGGCAACTGCAGACTTGGTCAGGTCAACACTGTCTTCTACGATGTGCTTACTGAGGTCCACTGCCTTGGTCACCTTGTCTGTCACCAGCTCCTTGGCCCCTTGAGCAGCCTCCACAGCGCTGACAATCGTGGAAGCAACTGCAGACTTGGTCAGGTCAACACTGTCCTCCACCACGTGCTTGGTGACATCCACGGCTTTGGTGACCTTGTCCACAGCATCTGTCACCTTGTTGGTCACCAGCTCCTTGGCTCCCTGGGCAGCCCCTACAGCTGCAGTGATGGTGGAAGTCACAGCAGACTTGGTTCTGTCAACACTGTCCTCCACAAGGTGCTTACTGAGGTCCACAGCCTCTGTCACCTTGCAGGTCACCAGCTCCTTGGCACCCTGGGCAGCCTCCACAGCGCTGACAATCGTAGAGGCAACAGCAGACTTGGTCCTGTCAACACTGTCCTCCACCATGTGCTTGGTGACATCCACAGCCTCTGTCACCTTGTTGGTCACCAGCTCCTTGGCACCCTGGGCAGCCTCCACGGCACTGCTGACAGTGGAGGTGACCACAGACCTGGTCAGCTTGACACTGTCCCCCACAACATTTTTAGTGAGGTCCACAGCCTCAGTGACTTTGTCAGCCACCACTTCCTTGGCCTCGCAGGCAGCGTCCATAGCAGATGTCACTTTGGTGGACACCAGCTGCTTGGTGTCTGAGATTACCTGCATCAGGGAGAGGCAGAGAAAGATTTTTTTTTTTTGTGGTTGTCCCAAAATACGTTTTCCCTCCCTGAAAAAGCTTTTCCACTTGGGTTAGTCGTGCTTGCAGTGTGTGGGAGGGCCAGGGAGGTGAGCACACCTGTACTGACATGGACACGTTCACTCCTGCATGCTGAGGGCTCCTCTCTAGCTTTCCCTGCTGCTGAGCTTTCTTTATTTCCCCGTATTCTTCTGTACCCATAACACTTCCATCAAGCCATGGCTTCCCCAGGAAAAGCCTTTCCCTTACCTTGTCTGCTGGCTGCTGCAGGAAGGGCAAGTTCTCCTCCAGCTGATCCAGACCTTTACAGGCATATTCATTCACAAGAGCGACTGGAAGAGACAACAGGCACCAGTTTATTCTTACATTTGGGGATGGGTTTTTGACCTTACAATGCCAGCTCAGGATACACTCATGAAAACAAGCCCCAGAAGAATAAATCCCCATTCTAGGGTGGGATGTGTGCGGGCATCTTGTTAAAAGTGAACAAACACTAAAATTCGGCAGGTTCAAATAATCTCCATTTTGCCTTCCCAGCTTTCTAACAGTGGACTTGAATCCAACTGCACTGTAGCACCTGCCCTTGGTGGGTAGGACATTGGGTTTAAAGGGTTGAAAAGTGTTGGGATAAGCCAGACTGAGCTCCGTTCCAGGCTGACACAGCTCCTGGGATGGTCAGAACTTGCAGTGAGAGCCAGCGAGCAGGGAGTAACTCAGCAACCTCAAGAAATCAAACTCTGCTTCTCCTGGAAGCAGTTTCACACCCAGGCAGCTCAGTGTCCGGGAGCTGCTGGGTGGGAGGCCCAGTGCTAGAGGAGAAGGTGCTGTGGGAGGTGGGGTCACCCTACAGGCACAGGAGCCCCCCTGCCCTCCTGCCCCAAGGGTCCCCCCAGCCCTGCACTTACTCTGTGGCTCGAGCTGGCTCAGGATGGGCTGTGCCCCTCCGACCACGCTGCCCACAGCCACGGCAGCCACGGTCTCAGCCACGCTGCAGACACCACTGAGGCAGGGGTGGGACTCCTTGGTGTGGTTGTAGGCAGAGGAGACCAGGTTGAAGGCAGAATTGAGCAAGGGCAGGCTGGTGACTCGGTTGACAGCGCTCTAAACCCAAGAGAAACCCTGACATTAGAGCCCAGCCCGAGCTGGTGGGTGAACACAGCCATGTGTCTGTCCAGAAAGGTCCCAGCAAATCCATCTCCTCATCCTTCAACTCATCCAGAGGCCTCCAACAAGCCAGGGTTAAGAACTCTGAGTTTCAGCACCAAACCAGGCATGGAAGTAGGACCTGTAACAGCTCCTGTTTCAGAACTACTTACATTATTTGGCCAGCCCTGAAGTTGTCTCTTGAGCAAAACAATTACCTTCTGTACTGAGGGGGTTTTGATTTGGTCACAGCTTCACAGGGCTAATCTTTCTGTCCCCCCAGCCAGGTTTTGGGGTGCTGGCAGAGGTTTACCAGCACGTGTCAGTGGGTGATTTAACTGCTGTGGTGCCCTGGCACCTACCACACTCTGCTGCTCCTCAGCCTTCAGCAGCTCTGGGGTTGGGGTCTTTCCTGAGGCCATACTGACTTCAGCTGCAGCTGGAAGGAAAAACAGGAGTATCATGAGCATTTCCTCCAAAGAAATAAAATCCAGCCAGGACAGGGGAAAAGCAGCAGGCAACAAAGCTGGGATCTGTCATTCAGCTGCTCCCAGAAAGGTTCAGGTTAGAAATAGGGAGAACTATTTTATCTGTCTTCTGTTTTCTCTGTGGGGTGGGATGACCCTGCCTGGACACCAGGTACCCACTAAAACAACTCCATCACCCCCTCCTCAGCTGGACAGGGAAAAAAAAAACATAACAATATAGCCAGTCTGGGAAGGACATGAGAATCCTGAGGAGTTCCCCCCGGAGGATGAGCCAGGTTTCCCAGCTGCAGCATTCCATGGCTACCTGGAGACTTGCCTTCACATCCTACTGACCAGCAAGGCAGGAAATCTCACTTCCTGTGAAACCAAGGCTCAGAGGCATTCTCATGACATAATGGGATTGAAGAAGTATAAAATGTTGCAATAATCTGAGCGGGTATTGGTCCCCCAGCACAGATCTCCTGTGCTATCTGGACTCTCCTGTATTGGTAATAAACCCAGGATTACTCTGAGCCTTAGTCAGGCACAGCAGGGATTTCAGCACATTTGTTCTTTGGGACAGAGTCTGCTTTTCTCTTCTTTGCCCGTTAATTCCTATTCTTAGATTTGCTGTGACATTTTCCAGTGGAAAACCCTCAAATGAAAATTCCTCCCAAACTGGATTTCCAAGCCATGCACTGCTCCAGGCTCACTGGCAGACTCTTCCCAAAAAAGCTTGCCATCTGAGTTGTGGTGGAGCCTATTGTCTTGTTTCTTGTGTTCTTTGCTTCGTGCAAGGTTTTGATTTTGCTGAGAAACAGGAACAGAGAGATGGAGAGAAGTAGTGAAACCAGCATTTGTGAGCCCTGGACTGGGCTCTGCCACTGGCCATGCACATCTCAGGAGATGACTTGGCAAAACACCAAATATTGCTGCATTAACCACTGAATTAGTCAGAATTCAGTGAGAATTGAGCAGGGCAGGGATGCAGAGTGCCACATGCTTGTAGCAAAAGTGTCACCCACGTTGTCACCTCCATCTTCTCCAGTGAGAGACTGGGAGCCCTCCCCACTCATCTGCACAGCAAAAACACCCATGGATCCCCACCAGGCTGGGAGAAGTTGTAAAAAGCTGCTCCAAAGAAAGCAAGGCTGAATGGGAGTCCCAAAGTCCAGGTTTGCTGCAGGGGCTGTCACTCCTGCCCTGCCTCAGGGCAGGTTTGTTATTTCTTTGGAGCCAGGCAGGGCTGACTTAGGGGCAAAGCACAGCTCTTTCAACACCACCACAAACAACCCCTTGGCTCAGTTATTTTACTTCTGGACAGGTGGAAAAAGCTCAGACTGTGGAGTTTGACACTGTGGTGGCCTTGGTGTCAGGGCCAGCACAGAGACACAGCAGCAAAAGCAAGAGGGGGGACTCTGGTTAGAATAATTCAGGAGTAACTTCTTGGCTGCTGTTAAAACTGCTGTAAGGTTAGATCAGCCTCTGAATACAGGGATCCCATGTTAATTATGGATACAGCCTGGCAGGGACAATACTTCAGCAGTCATGTTGGAACAAGGTTTGTTCTCCATGGTGGAGGAGAAATCCATGTTTTGCAACACCCAGATCTGCAGTGTGGGCAGATCTCCACAGCATGGTTTTATTTTCTCTTTTCTGCAAAGTGCTGAGCAGCCCTTGCTTTGCTTCAGAGATTGCAGGAAAGCCCAGTGCTTGGCAACTCTGGGTCAGGTGGTTCTGAATCCTTTGGAGAAGCCACAGCCAAGCCAGGATGGCTGGGAGTGGAAATCCCAGTGGGCAGAGGAACAGAAACAGCAGCATTTGTTTTGGTTGTGGTTTCCTTCATATGAAAGTGATGATCAGATGACTTCACACCATTGCTACATCTGAAATATTAGGTCACTGCTGGAGAAAGCTCTTGAAAAGGTGGTTTCAGAAGGATGAAACTTCAGTGCTCTTTTCTAGCACCAAGGTCAAGAGATTTTCTGGGACCAGGAGCTGAACTGATCCTTGCCCATTTGGAGTCAGTGAGGGAGCAAGGGCTGGCTCCCTGATTTCTGGCACTGGCAGTGACCAGTTCATGTAAAACAGGTTCTTTACTCCCCTTGGCTGGAAGGTTTCCCTGCAGGAAGCAGCTCAGCTCCATGAGAACAGGCTGCTGGTGTGTGCTCCTGTAGCATCTTCATGCTCAGGAAGCTCCTCTCCTGCCAAGGGATTTCACCTTGGGAGAAACTGAGCCACAGCCAGCTTGGCTGGTTCAGTGGCTTAACTGGCAATTCCTTAATGACCTCTGAGGAAAACACAGCTAAATTTAGTGCTTTAGATGTGAGCAGGGAGGGCTAATCAGGGCACAGGAATTCAATTGTGGTTCAAGCACCTATTTACATTCTTTTCGAGATTTGCCACTGATACCCGGCTCCCAAAAATGCAGAACTGGGTCATGGGATGTCTGTGGGGAATGGGCTGCAAATGCTCTGAGGACAGAATTAGTTTTAGGAGGAAAATCAAATGATTCCCAGCTTTGACCTGAGGACAGCAGTTCGGGGGCTGGCAGAGGTGCCCATCTCACCTTTCTGGACAAACCAGCAGCACTAGGAAACCTCAAAGATCAAAGGCACCCTTGCTGATGGATGCAGGGCTTCCCCACACACCTCCAGCAGAAATGAAACACCACAGCCAGTGGCCACCCCTGGGTCAGTAACTGCTTGGAACACAGACATTTTAGGAAAGAAGAGAGGAAGTTTTAACTGAAACAGCCTCTCAGTGCCTCCCAATCTTTCCATGAGGACAGCGTTCTGGGTTTCCTCTGGAAGCTGTAACTTGCAGAGCAAGCAGCTCAGCACGTTTCCATCTGGAATTTTCAGCAGAACCAGCTACAGAAACTGAAATCCTTCCCAGCCATCCACAGCTCAGGGTAGTCATGACCACATTTAAAGCCTTGCTAGTCTTGAGAAGCACTAATCCAGTTTGCCAAGGCTCCCTGTGGGGGCTGGCAGAGCCCTGCAGGGACAGGGTGCTCCTGAGCAGTGTCACTCGGCTCTCGTGCCTCCACCAGAGGATCACGAGAAACAGCCCCGGGCAGGGCTGGCAGCGCTGTCACACGAAGGGAATGCCCGGCAGGTCACCTGCGCGCTGTCCCCGGGGTGTCACCTGCCCCCGGAGCATCCACCTTGTCCCCACCATCCCCAAACACAGCGCTGTGCAGGTGACTGGTGGGAGTCACCTCCTGTGGGCCCCCCAGCAAACAAGAAGCAGAAAAGAGCTTTTAAACCCCAGGCTGCTCAATCACAGATCCACGGAGTCACCAAGGAGTCATCCCAAAGCTGGGAAGGAGCCTTTAGGGAATTGTGTGACTCCCACCACGGTTTGGGTTGGAAAGGACCTTAGAGATCAGCTGGTTCCACCCCCAGCCTCAGGTGTTACCCAAGGCAGACACATCACCACAGCAGAAAATGTCACCTTTGCCCTCAGAGAGCAAAGCCCCCCAACACACAGGAAAGGCAGGGGCACAGCGGGGACACAGCGGGGACACAGCTCCTGCGGTGCCGGGCTGCTGAAGGGCCCCGTGGCACAGCCGGCTCCCCCCGAGGGAGCTCCGAGCCACAGCCCCGGCACCCGCCCGGGCTGCAGAGCCCGGGGAGGCACCCCGAGCCCCAGGCAAGTCACAGACCCCCCGAGCTCCCACACCTTGCCCACCCCTCAGCGCAGCCTTACCTGCCTCCTCCGCGCCCGGCTCTGGTGAGACTCAGACTGGGAGCACTGGCGGCACTGGGAGCTCTGGGAACACTGGCGGCACTGGGAGCTCTGGTGAGACTGGGAGCACTGGCGGCACTGGGAGCTCTGGTGAGACTGGGAGCACTGGCGGCACTGGGAGCTCTAGGAACACTGGCGGCACTGGGAGCGCTGGCAGGACTGGGAGCACCGGGCGCCGCCCGGTTAAATAGCCCGCGGGGTGATTGGCAGCGCGGGGCTGGGGGAGCGGGGGCCGGCCGGGCCAATGGGGACAGCGCTGGGCTGGGTGGGGCCGCAGGTGAGGGGCCGGGGTCCCCAGGTGAGGGGCCGGGGTCCCCTCGGGGCCGTGGAGCTGCTGTTTGTCCCCCCCAGGAGGGACAGACCTGGCAGGGTGTGCAGGGCATCTCTCAGAGGGTGTCCCATCCCCTGGTGCTTTGGTCGTGGCGCACCCTGAGTTGGGAGGGGCCCACAGGGATCCCCTGGCCCTGCACAGCCCCCCCAGCAATCCCCCCCTGCCTGGGGGCTGTTCCTGCAAAGAGCTGCTCATGGAGGTCAAGCACTGCAGCTGCTTGGAGCAGGGTGCTGGGACAGGAGCTGTCCCCCTGTCTGTCCCCCAGCTGGGGGCACAGGGGCTGCCCTGGGGCTGTCATTGCAGGGGGTCACAGATGTTGTCACCAAGTCCCAGAGGAGCAGGACATGGTGTTTGTTTCGTGAACCATCATCATCATCATCATCATCATTCTGATGTTTTTTGGCAAAGCTCCCCTCCCCACATGGGGCTGCTGTGCCTCCCCGAGGAGTCAGACGTGCTGTCCCACCTCAGCCCGTGCCAGGCCCCAGCAGACACCTGAGGATGAGCCCTTCTGCTTCTCCTGTTTGCTGGGATTTTCAGGGTAGGACTTGATTTATGTTTTCATCCTCGCAGAGGGCCCAGCAGTGCAGGACTCCAGGGAGCTCAGGGCTTTTTAACAGCTATAACAAATACTGAAAACTCCAGTTAATGCTTTTCTTTTCTATTTGTGCCTTTTCATCTTCAGCTCTCAAAAACTGGTTTGAAAACATCAATTAAGCTTCCTGTTGTCTGTTTTCAAGATCAGCGGGGGAGGAAACTGAGGCACAGGTAAAAATTATCTGAAGTCTTCTAACACTATTACAGTGATTGAGTCACCTTGTTTTGGGCCATGGATGTAGGAGACCTTGGCTCTGTTTCTGTATTGCCATTCAGGCAGGGGGGTGCCAGTGGTTTTTGAAAAATGTGCTGTTAAGCTGACAAAAATGTAGACAATTGTCACTCCTGAGCTTTGGGGCTGGAAGGAATCCTCATCCTGAGGCTGGCTTAGCTGGGAGTGCTGGCTGGAAAGGCCTCTGGAGCTCAGGCACTCGTGGAGAGCTGGGAGCTGGCTGAGTCTGGGATCTCCCAGGGATGCAGATCTCCCACGGCCTCTCTGGCTGTTGGCCCTCTGGGTCTGGATGTTGCATTAATGGAGAAGCTGCTCCCAATGTCCACTCTGAGCCTCTCCAGTACAAATTGTGGCTTTTGTCTCTGGTTTGATCACCTGCACTGCTGGAAAGAGTCCTTGTGCATTTGTCTGTGTGACATGAACTCCATATTCATCACCTGGGAGCCTGTCACAGAGTCACAGGACCCAGAATGGTCTGGGTGGGAAGGACCTTAAGTTTTTGACGCAGTTCTCAAGTGTTTGATAGCTTGTACTAAAACTGAAGGGAGCTTTAACAATTATGATGTTTGTAAGGGAAATAAAAATTGTTTGTCCTGTGAAGAATTGATGAAATGAAGGTTTTTTTACAGGAACAGGGAATCAAGAAATGAGTCCTGTGTATTTTGGAGTGTTGGCCTGACATGGCCAGTGCTGCATCCTCAGGTAAGGTGTCAGTGATCCAGCTGCCAGGTGGCTCCTGGGTGTGAAGTGCCCCTGTGGGTCAGTTGCTGTGGGGATGGGGAAAGTCTCATGGGTCAGGTTCAATTTCATCCCCTAAGTGAGTGAAACAGCACTGTCTGCAGGATGCCCCTCCTGTGGCTGTGGTGGGGCACGGGGGAATGTGAGAAGTGATAGCCAGTAATTAAAATTAACCAGGCAGTGTTTAATATCTAATGTGTGGCTTTGATATTAGGGTAAAATGCCAGTGCTGGGATTTCCTGCTGGGTGGCAGAACTGCCTGCAGGCTCAGGACGCTGGATTTGGGGGATTGCAGTGCCAGAGCAAAGGCTTGCACAATTGTTTCTGTGACCCTTGGTGCTGTATGAAAGACACAGATTTAAATCCGAGATAAAATCGTCATAAGAGGTTTGGTGGGGTGGGAAGAGCGTGGGAGGAAGTGGAGAAACACGTTTGGGGAAGGGAGAGGAGCTGTGCTGCTTGCAGCATGGCAGCCCTGTGCAGCCCTGAGCAAACCCAGGGCAGGATCCTTCAGGTGTGAACCCCACCTCTGCTCCAGGAGCCCCTGTCCCTCAGCCCTGCTCCTTCAACTGCCTCCTGGCTCCTTCATCTGCCCCTGGCTCCTTCAGCTCCCCTGGCTCCTTCATCTGCCCCTGGCTCCTTCAGCTGCCCCTGGCTCCTTCAGCTGCCCCTGGCTCCTTCAGCTCCCCTGGCTCCTTCATCTGCCCCTGGCTCTGCCTGGGGACGAGGCCTCAGCCTGGAGCTTCTCACTTGTCCCATCCTGGTTTCTGTTGAGTGCAAACCTGCAGGTGTGTGGGGGATCTGGAGGGTTGGACCCCTGTGTTGGGAGCCATTCCTTTCCCTGCTCTTGGTGTGTCACAGCTCAGCATTGTTCCTTTGGGGCCCAGAGGCCACACGTGACACTGGAGTTCCCACTGCAAATGTTCATCTGCTGCAGAGGAAATCATCCTGCTGCTCTCTCAGGGCACTGCTGCATGAGTAACCTGCCACTGTGCCACGGTCACCTTCCCCGTGTCACCTCCCCTGGGGCAGGCACAGGCACGAGAAGTGATGAGAATGATGATTCAGGGCTGGGGCACGAGGAGCTTTGGTTCTGTTCCTCGGGGAAGCGAAGCACAGCCCTTGGCTTCCAGAGCTGCCTGGGCAGCTCTGCAGGGCCCACAGAGGGCACAGCTCTGGGTCATTGTCACTCCCTGCTGTGCCAAGCCCACCAACCTTCCTGCTCCCCCTGAGCCTTCCGAGCACTCTCCTGGGTCAGGACCTGCTGCAGGTCTGTGCTGCCTCCCTCTGCACCAGCCCAGCAGCTCCCTCCTGTCTCCTGTGCTCAGCTCACCTCGAGGTGAGCCCCTCCTGCTCCCCTTCCAGCAGCTCCCTGGGCTCCCCAGCCCCTGTTCCCCCTCCAGGCTCTGCTCCCCTTCCAGCCTTTGCACTCACAGCAGGGAACAGCCTGATGGTTCCTGGCTGCTCTCCCAAAATTCCAGTTCACCTTTCTGTTGCTTTTTCAGGCTGTAGGATGGTTTTGTGCGTGCCTGGCTGCTCCTCCCTCTGCTGCTGCTGTCTTGCCTGAGGTAGAGGTGAGCTGGGGTGGTGTAATGCTGCTTGGTTTTGGTAGATGGGAGAGGGGATGTCTCCTGGCCTGCTAAATGTGTCCCCTCCATCCTCAGCTCCTGCTTCCCCAGAGGCACAGGCCTCCTTTGCCCTCCCCAGCCTGGGCTTTGGCCAGCTTTACCCCTGTAAACTGCTGCTTGTTCAGAGTTTTGCGTGGAGGGAGGGGAACACGGGATCCAGAGAGCTCCTGGGTGCAGCATGGCTCTGGATCATCCCAGAGCTCGTGGGGCTGGAGCAGCCTGCACTGCCCCCCTGCCCTGCAGCCCCACTGCCTCACCTGGGACAGGCCTCTGGCTGTGCTGTGTGTGACGGCCTCAGCCATCACCTGTCCTTGAACAGCTATGCAGGGAGTAGTTAGTTATGCACATAAAAGCATAAATGCCAGCGCCTGTCTCCTGGGTTTGGCTGGGATAGTGTTAATTTTCTTCCCAGTAGCTGGTCCAGGGCTGTGTTTTGGATTTAGCATGGGAATAGTGTTGATAACAACCGATGTTGTGGTTGTGGCTGAGTTGTGCTTACTCCACATCAAGGACTTTTCAGTTTCCCAGTGAGCAGGGGCACAAGGAGCTGGGTGAGAGCATGGCCAGAGAGCTGGCCTGGAGTGGCCAGAGGGATATTCCATTCCACAGAACATCTGCCAGTACAGAAACTGGGGGGTGGCACCTGTCTGTCACTGCTGTGGGACGGGCTGGGTCAGGGTGGTGAAGGACTGTGTTGGGCAGCTCTGGCAGGGAGGAATCCCTGCCCAGTATCCCAGAACCCTCCCAGGCTGCAGGAAGTGCTGCGGTGGCTCCAGGTTAATCCTCCAGTACCTCCACAAGGGCAAGAAATGACTTTGTGTCAGGGCAGAGCCTTCAGCCCGGGCAGGAAACGCAGCCTGGCCGCTGCAGGCTGCCTGAGTGCCCCGACACCCCCAGCCCCCAGCCCATCCGGGCCTCCGGCCAGCCCCTGACCCATCCGTGGGGTCCATGGTGGCTCCAAGGACGGAGTGGGACGCGGCAGAGGCGCTGCCCTGCGTGTCCCCCGCGTGTCCCCCGCGGCACACCGGGGCGGGAGGGCACCGCGTCCCGCTGCTGGCTGTGTTCTAGAGCCGGGGGAGGCCGCGGGGGCGGGGAGGGGAGCACGGGAAGCGGGGTGTGCCGGGCCTTGCCGCGGCCTCCCGGCCTCGTGCTCCTTTGTCCGCGGCTGTTCCGGCCCAGCCGCGCCATCCCCGCGGCCCCGGCCCGGCCTCTCTCCCTCACAAACGCCAATGCTCGGCCTTTCACCCTTCCCTTGGAGCAGCCTTCTCTCAGGGGCCTCTTGGCCACGCTTTCCGCCATCCAACGGTTGTTTTAAGCAAATATTGTCATTTTTAGTTTCCTCACGGCATCGGTGGTTTTGGGGACAAACATCCTGCTGGATCTGCTCGTTCTGTCGGCTCACGCGGCCACGCCGCGGCCCTGCAGTGTCACCCAGGCCACGTTGTCACCAGTGGGGCCCTGCACAGCGCCATGAGTCCCCCTGGAGCTAACGGCCTGGGGGGTTAGAGCCCTTTTGCGGATTGTCCGGTTTATTTGGATGTCTTTGTTTATTCGGTTATTCGGATTATTCGGTTTATTCGCATCATTCGGATTATTCGGTTTATTCGCATCAGGGTAGAGCCTGGAGCCCCCCAGGGGGACAAAAGCCCTCCTGGAGCCCCCCGGGGGATCAGGACCCCTGGGGGAAGGGTGGCTGTCATAGGGGGGTCATTGGCGTCTCCTCTCCCGCTGGGGCTCACCAGGTTTAGGACAATACCCGGTACCGTGCCCACGGCCCCGGGGGTTCGGGGCTGATGGAGCCCTTGGGCATTCGGGGGGTTTTGCCCCCAGCATCGCAGCGGAGCGGGGGGCGCCGGGCCGGGTCACTGGCGGGGGATCCCCGCTGTCGCCCCCGGTTCCAGGGGGTGTTTTCCCGGTCCCGTTTCCCGGCCAGGGCCCCCCCGGCCCCGGGAGGCGGCGGCGGCCCCGCCCCTCCCCGCCCTGCCCGAGCGGTGCGGGAAGCGGCGGGAGCGCTCGGCGATGCCCGGGCGGTGACAGCTGGGTCTGGTGCCCCGGAGGGGTCGCGTCGCTCGGGGCTGCGACAGCGGGACCGACCCCCGCCCCCGAACGGGCCCGCGGGAGGGGGTGTGGCCGTCAGGGGCGGTGCCGGCGGCACCGGTGCCCTACGGGCCCGGGGAGTGGCATCGCCCCGGGGGCTGCGCGGGGATGACGCGGGCGGGCTGGGGCGGGTCCGGGCGCGGCGGGGGTCGCTGACACCCCCCATTCCCGTCCTGTCCCGGGCGGGCGCGGGTGACGGCCCCTTTAAGACCACGCGCTTCCCCCCCACCTTTCTCCCTTCTCTCATTTGCATGATCGCGCGAGACTTGGCGCGTGGGCGCGGCGGGCGGGTTTCAATTGTGGCGCGAGACACGGCCGGCGCGAGCGGAGCCGTTAGGCTCCCGCGTGGGGGGGCGGGGCCGTCCCCGCCACGCAGCCAATCAGCGGCCGAGCCGGCCGGGCCGGCGGCCAATGGCGGGCGGCGGGCGCGTGAGGGCGGCGCGGCCGCGGGCGGCGGGCCCGCCCCGCCGGTGCCGCCGCCTGAGCGCGGGCCCATTCCCGGGGCAGCGCCGGCGCCATGTGGATCCAGGTGCGCACCATGGACGGCAGCCAGACGCACCGCGTGGACTCCCTCTCCAAGCTCACCAAGGTGGAGGGGCTGCGCCTGCGGATACACGAGGTGTTCGGCGTGGAGCCCCACCGGCAGCGGCTCTTCTACCGCGGCATTTCAATTGTGGCGCGAGACACGGCCGGCGCGAGCGGAGCCGTTAGGCTCCCGCGTGGGGGGGCGGGGCCATCCCCGCCACGCAGCCAATCAGCGGCCGAGCCGGCCGGGCCGGCGGCCAATGGCGGGCGGCGGGCGCGTGAGGGCGGCGCGGCCGCGGGCGGCGGGCCCGCCCCGCCGGTGCCGCCGCCTGAGCGCGGGCCCATTCCCGGGGCAGCGCCGGCGCCATGTGGATCCAGGTGCGCACCATGGACGGCAGCCAGACGCACCGCGTGGACTCCCTCTCCAAGCTCACCAAGGTGGAGGGGCTGCGCCTGCGGATACACGAGGTGTTCGGCGTGGAGCCCCACCGGCAGCGGCTCTTCTACCGCGGCAAGCAGGTACGGGCGCGGCGCGGGCACTGACAGCCTCGGAGCGGCGGCGGCGCGGTGCCGGACACCCCCGCCCGGCCCCGTGCTCCCCTCCCGCTGAGGACGCGCGTTTTAATTTATTTATTTTTAATTGCGTGGAAAGGAGGGGCTGTGCTGCCATCTAGTGATCCCGGCTCCCTCCCGCGCTGCCCCGTCCGGGTCTGCAGGGAGAGCTGCCAGCCGCAGAGCAGCCTTTAGTCTTGCTTTCTTTGCTATTTTCCACCTAACGTGTTGCTCTTCTGCCTTGACATCGCCTTTATGAAGTGTCTGGCAATTACCGGTGGTTTTATGGTCTTTAAAGTGCTTCATGTTTTTGAGCCTTGCGAGTTTCACCGCTCTGAAAGCCGTGAAGATCTCATTTTCCTTTGTAAATTGGGAAAAGCACCTCGTGATTCTGAAGTTCTTCAGCTCTGATATCAAATTCTCGCTAGGTACAGAACACTTGAGTGGCTGAGTGCTGTGTTATGTTCTCAGTAATACGTTTGCAATTGCTGTCGTACAACTGTTTCATTCCCTGTGAGTTAATAATGTAACTAAATTAGCACCGAAGTCAGTCAAAACCATTTAAAAATACAATTGTTGTATTCTGCCTGGTCCTGTGCTGCTAAACCTTCGTGCTAGAGAAACTCCTGCTCTGTGTTTGGTTGGTCACAGGATTAATTTCAGGAAAAGCAGTGGGATGCTGAGTTGGCTGCAGATGGACAATTTTTCTGGCTGCTCTTCTTTCTGTTTTAGGCAGTCTTGAGCTGACTGTACTCTGTAATTAGCAGGTGTGGCTGTAAAACATGGAAATGCACCTGGACTAGCCTCAGTCTAAGCTCAGGTACCAGTTCTAGCTTAAAGAGAGGCCTGTAGGATGGTGTAACATCTCTGAAGGGCTGTTTGTAACCCACTTTTCTGTGGGGTTGTGTAGATTTGGACGCCTTGATGACCCGTTTGTGTTGTAAATGAAGTGACGAGGGGCGTTGCTTCAGGGCAGGTGCCACCTGTCAGCCTTTCCCTGAGCTGTGCAGACAGCCAGGCTTAAGCAGATTTCAGAAGTGGTGACTTCAGGGTGCCCTCCAAAGGATCCCCTCCTCCTGCAGTTCCAGGGCTCCTTGGCTCAGGCAGGAACGTGACCCAGCCTCTCACAGGCCTTGTTCCCACTGTGCTTTGTCTGCCTCTTGGAATCCCTGCAAATGTTCCATTTCTTACTCGTGAACGTTTTTCAGTGGGTTAGAAAATTAGCTGTTGGTTCAAACTTGCCTCCTTTGTTGGAGGTTTGTCCTCAGCCCCGGGCTCTTCTTCCTGGCTGCTTTGAGCTCCTGTGGTTTCCTGTCCCGTTCCTGTGCTCTTCCATTTCACTCTGCACCTGTTGTCACTCGTGTCCTCTGCTGCTGCTGTCCCCGTGTTTGTGACACTGTCCTGGCTGAGAAGAAACAACCAATTTCTGGTGTGTTCTTAGGCACCTCGAGGGGTTTTCATCTCTAAACCAGCAAAAAGCTCAGACCTCTTCCTGTGCAGCCAGATTTCCAGGGATTGTTCCACAGCCATTGGATGCCATAAATCAGAATTGAATTATCATAGTGATTCCTGTGAAGTGTAAATTTTTGTGGTTTTGCTCTGCTTCCCCCTGATAGAGAACAAAGCTCCAGGGATTGCTTTTTCTGGTGGTTTAGGCTGGAAAGGGATGATCATTTCCTGTATAATTTCTTAGTCAGACCTTAAATATGTGGGGAAGCTTGTCTGAACTTCTGACTGCTCCGTGGGCTCCAGCCTTGCATGTTAACTCTAAAATGCTTGTGCTCCTCAGAGCTCTTGAGAGGTTTTTGAGGGGCCTCTTTCTCCCTCTGCACTCCTCTTCTGCAGGGGCAGGGTCTCGGTTTGACTACAAACCGTGCCAGATAAACTCTTAGAATTAGAGAGAGTGTGAAATTAGGACAGGCCTGGCTACGCTAAAGAGCGATCGAGTAGTTTCAAGTTGAATTGAATCTTTTCTGATTTGACTTTCAGTGGAAAAAATGTGTGATTAACTCTGGCTTCTGCTTAATGCTACGAATAATGGAGATGGTGTAACAATATTCTGATCACACACAATTAGAATATGAAGACAGTCTGCATTAGGATTTGGGATGGGTATGAATTGAGGAAGAAATAATTTCCCTTTGTGTTTGTAGGTAATGTGGAATTATCTCTGAATCCTGACGGGAATGTGGGGGGTCTGTAGTTGTTTCATTGGTGTTTCTAGGGAACGTGCTGCAAACTTTTCCAGATCTCCTAGAGGCTGGGTAGCAATCCAGAGCAGCATGGAAGCCGTGCTGTTGCAGATTGCGGGTGATTGAAAAAAGAGCGTTTAGATAGCAGGACGGAGAGAGAAGAAGGGCCCAGAGCTGGCTGATAACGGTTCCAGAGCCACGTGGTGGATGTTGGCGGGCAGGGCGGCGATGGGAGGCTGACCGGCTGCCTTGCTGCTTTCCCTGCAGATGGAAGATGGGCACTCCCTGTTCGACTACAGCGTGGGGCTGAACGATATTGTTCAGCTGCTGGTCAGACAAAGCCCGGCCCTGCTGCCTGCCGGGAGCAAGGACAAGGACCCGGAGCTCTCGGACAGCGACTCCGGCTGCGGCTCCGGCCCCAGCGAGTCCGACAAGAGCTCCCACAACGGGGAGGCTGCCCTGGAGCTGGAGGGCCAGCCCGGCACGGCAGCTCAGCCCGACTGGGCCGACCCCTGCTTCGGCCTCTACAAGGTGGGTGCTCAGCGCTGGGAGCCCCAGACCCGCCTGCCCAGGGGACTTGTTCTCTGTGCTGGAGCGTTGCTGAAAATCCTTCACACTCCAGTTGTGTGGGCAGTTCCTTTCTTCCTCTCAAACCCTCCAACAACAAAGACAGAAATGCCAACCAACCCACAAACCAATTCAATGCAACATGCTGTAGGTCAAAATACTTCATTTTTTCATTTTGTTCTTTGAACTAAAACTACAATACATAAATTTTTTAAAAAAAAAGTATTCAGAGTGTCTGGTTTGGTTTTTTTTTACAAATTTTCCCAATGTTTTTGCTTGGAGTCACTACATTTGTCAAAGCTGAAACGTTCTTGAATGAACAAAAGAAAATCTTGAGCAGCTGTTCAGAATAATTTTATTCTTTTG